GATTAATAGTTTTTTTTTTTAATAACTGTATTATATGATAGTAAAAGTGTCCCCGTCCCCCGTCCCCTCCCAATCCACGAGAAAAAACTTCAGCTAGGCCCGTGAAAACTGAACACGCACCGTGTGGCATCATGAATGTGAACCTACTGCGCCAATCGTAAATAAAATGTATGCACATATTTATAATTGTCACTCCACAGCAATTCCACATCAATATTTCTTTCCGGTATAATTATCTCTTTAAACAACTTAATTAATTAACAAAGCAAATGAATACCGGGGTACTAATGCAGTTGTCCTTGGATGTAAAAAAAATATATTAATGAAGCAGTTGTGTTTTCCCGCGGTACATGGGTTACGTCCCATAGTTGTAAAATGACGAAACGCCGGCTGTGTCGCAAGACTCAAGGGTCAAACCCAACGATCTCATTAGCCGTGGCCGTAATGAATGCCAGGACAATTAGCGCTTGATTGCGGGGTATTATGAAACACCGGGAGAGTTCAAGTTCAGACTACACGTTTAAGACAAATGATAGAACGTCAATCACAGTATTCGTGTTGGTACTGTAGTAGTTCAGACTACACGTTTAAGACAAATGATAGAACGTCAATCACAGTATTCGTGTTGGTACTGTAGTAGTTCAGACTACACGTTTAAGACAAATGATAGAACGTCAATCACAGTATTCGTGTTGGTACTGTAGTAGTTCAGACTACACGTTTAAGACAAATGATAGAACGTCAATCACAGTATTCGTGTTGGTACTGTAGTAGTTCAGACTACACGTTTAAGACAAATGATAGAACGTCAATCACAGTATTCGTGTTGGTACTGTAGTAGTTCAGACTACACGTTTAAGACAAATGATAGAACGTCAATCACTGTATTCGTGTTGGTACTGTAGTAGTTCAGACTACACGTTTAAGACAAATGATAGAACGTCAATCACAGTATTCGTGTTGGTACTGTAGTAGTTCAGACTACACGTTTAAGACAAATGATAGAACGTCAATCACTGTATTCGTGTTGGTACTGTAGTAGTTCAGACTACACGTTTAAGACAAATGATAGAACGTCAATCACTGTATTCGTGTTGGTACTGTAGTAGTTCAGACTACACGTTTAAGACAAATGATAGAACGTCAATCACAGTATTCGTGTTGGTACTGTAGTAGTTCAGACTACACGTTTAAGACAAATGATAGAACGTCAATCACAGTATTCGTGTTGGTACTGTAGTAGTTCAGACTACACGTTTAAGACAAATGATAGAACGTCAATCACTGTATTCGTGTTGGTACTGTAGTAGTTCAGACTACACGTTTAAGACAAATGATAGAACGTCAATCACTGTATTCGTGTTGGTACTGTAGTAGTTCAGACTACACGTTTAAGACAAATGATAGAACGTCAATCACTGTATTCGTGTTGGTACTGTAGTAGTTCAGACTACACGTTTAAGACAAATGATAGAACGTCAATCACTGTATTCGTGTTGGTACTGTAGTAGTTCAGACTACACGTTTAAGACAAATGATAGAACGTCAATCACTGTATTCGTGTTGGTACTGTAGTAGTTCAGACTACACGTTTAAGACAAATGATAGAACGTCAATCACTGTATTCGTGTTGGTACCGTAGTAGTTCAGACTACACGTTTAAGACAAATGATAGAACGTCAATCACTGTATTCGTGTTGGTACCGTAGTAGTTCAGACTACACGTTTAAGACAAATGATAGAACGTCAATCACTGTATTCGTGTTGGTACTGTAGTAGTTCAGACTACACGTTTAAGACAAATGATAGAACGTCAATCACAGTATTCGTGTTGGTACCGTAGTAGTTCAGACTACACGTTTAAGACAAATGATAGAACGTCAATCACTGTATTCGTGTTGGTACCGTAGTAGTTCAGACTACACGTTTAAGACAAATGATAGAACGTCAATCACTGTATTCGTGTTGGTACCGTAGTGATGGATATATATATAATTTATATACAAAATAGTTACTTTAAAAAGTGTTCGCCCCCCTCCCCTTAGAAATTTAAGTATGCACCACCTTTACTACCCTCCCCCTAGGAGAGACATGTCTGAAAGAAACACTGAGTACAACACTTCAGTAAATGTAGATACTAGCTTGGTTTTCAACGAATCTTTGCTAAGATATTGCTTTCTATAAAAACTGTACAGCTTTAAAATATAGTTCTATGTATATCTTGGATAGAGGCTATAGAAGCAAATTCAGAAAAAAAAGCAGGCTGAAATCGAATTCAATGGTCTATATAGCGCATAACAGGTAAAAATAAACATCTTCAACATTTAATATTTAATAGATTCACTTCTTCTAAAAGTAAGTTGAAATGAGGTTAGTATAATCATATGTTGAACAACATTATTTAGTGTGTTTTTTTTTAACTGAAGTTTCAGTTTTTACTATAAATTTATTTTCATCCAACATTTCAAGGCAGAATTACAAGCTGTTACCTTATGAAGCTACGCAGATCTTAAACACATTGTCACCTATGTACCAGACACAAATAATAAAGCAACGAGTAGGTTCACATAAACCAAACATATTATGGATATTAGAAAAAATATTACTTTCAATATATGTTGTGATATAAGCCTATTTAATACTAGATAAATGGCCCGTTGAGGAAGGGTACAACGGGCGCTAGGCTGATAGTGCTGTCTCTTTTCTCTAAACTAAAACCATCCCCCCCCCCCCACACACACCCCCACCCCCACCCCCCCACACACACCACCCCCACCCCCCCACACACCACCCACCCCAACACACACCACCCCAACACACACCACCCCCACACACCACCCCCCACCCACCCCCACCCACCCACCCCCACCCCCCAAAAAAACATGTCTACCGTCCCATTCAACGAAATATAATTATATACTTTTTCCAGTGTCCGCCCCCTTCCCGAAAATTCTACCCCCGCCCCCGAAAACCTCAAGTACCCCCACCCCTCTCCGGGGAGGAAAAAGTCTGAAAGAAACACTGGTGTCGCGCTTAGCCACTACGCGAAGAATTGCATTAAAGAAATTGCGAGAAAACCACTTTTTAGATTAGACACATTAATTAGGTGGTAATTTTATTATAGAGTATCGATGAGGAAACCACCCCACCCCACCCCCCCCCCCACACACACACCTCCACACACCACCCACCCCCACCACCCCCACCCCCACACACCACCCCCCACCTCCCACACCCCACCCCCCACTCTCAAAAAAATCATGTCTACCGTCCCATTCAACGAAATATAATTATATACTTTTTCCAGTGTCCGCCCCCCTTCCCGAAAATTCTACCCCCGTCCCCGAAAATTTCAATTACCCCCACCCCTCTCCGGGGAGGAAAAAGTCTGAAAGAATTACTGGTGTCGCGCTTAGCCACTACCCGAAGAATTGCATTAAAGAAATTGCAAGAAAACCACTTTTTAGATTAGAAACATTAATTAGGCGGTAATTTTATTATAGAGTATCGATGAAGAAATTTCTATTGAGTTGGGGAGGGGGGGGGGGGGGGGGGCTCAGACGTTCCTACGCGTGGGGTGGGGCTTCGCCCCTACCCGAAGAATTGTATGCAAGAAACTCTTCACGCAAACCATTTAGATTAGACAACATTTCCTTTTTATTCAATGTTTACGCGAAAATCAATGACGTCATATAACTGTGAGCACTCTCTGGGTTTGAGATTATTTTCTACTCTATGCTAAATGTGTCGACGTCATACTTCGTCTTTCGTTTCACTGTGAGAGTTTTTAAATTGCTTGTGTTTTCTCTAGAGCGTTCTTGTCAGATAGAATTTTTTCTTATGTTTTCTCTAGAGCGTTCTTGTCAGACAGAGCGTTCTTGTCAGATACATAGATACACAGACAGCGAAACTATTATTATAGACGAGAAAAATGGCCCGTTGAGGAAGGATACACCGGGCGCTAGGCTGATAGTGCTGTCTCTTTTCTCTAAACTAAACCCCCCCACACCCCCCACCCCCCCACACACCACCCCCCCACCCACACACACACCACCCCCACCCCCCCCCCCCCCACACCCCCCACAAAACATGTATACCGTCCCATTCAACGAAATATAATTATATACTTTTTCCAGTGTCCGCCCCCTCCCCGAAAATTCTACCCCCGCCCCCGAAAATTTCAAGTACCCCCCACCCCTCTCCGGGGAGGAAAAAGTCTAAACTAAAACCACCCCACCCCCCACACACACCACCCCCACACACACCACCCCCCCCCCCCCCCCACACACACACCACCCCCCCCCCCCCCCCCAAAAAAAAAATATGTCTACCGTCCCATTCAACGAAATATAATTTATATACTTTTTCCAGTGTCCGCCCCCTCCCCGAAAATTCTACCCCCCGCCCCCGAAAATTTCAAGTACCCCCACCCCTCTCCGGGGAGGAAAAAGTCTAAATTAAAACCACCCCACCCCCCCCCCCCCCACCCCCCTAAAGAAACATGTCTACCGTCCCATTCAACGAAATATAATTATATACTTACGCGGGGGTGGGGCTTCGCCCCTACCCGAAGAATTGTATGAAAGAAACTCTTCACGCAAACCACTTAGATTAGACCAAATTGCCTTTGTATTGAACGTTTACTCGATAATCAATGACGTCATATAAATGTGTGCACTATCCGGCTTGAGATTATATTCTACTCTGTGCTAAATGTGTCGACGTCATATTTCGTTTTCGTTTCACTGTGCATGTTTTTAAATTGCTTGTGTTTTCTCTAGAGCGTTCTTGTCAGACAGATAGATAGATAGATAGATAGATAGATAGATAGATAGATAGATAGATAGATAGATAGATAGATAGATAGATAGATAGATAGATAGATAGATAGATAGATAGATAGATAGATAGATAGATAGATAGATAGATAGATAGATAGACAGACAGCGAAACTATTATTATAGATGATAAAGTAATGAAGAAATGCAATTTGTACTTACACTTTAGGGTCGTACAGTGTGTGGGATGACTTGGAGATAACTTGTATGTTGAATTCACGGGCCATGGCCGAGATGGCCGAATCTCTTTCCTTGCCATATGGCTCAGGATCTTCTTCAAAAGCCAAAACTGATATGTCCCAATCCTAAATTAAAAATAAATAAACTGATAAATAAAACTACTAATTAAGCTGAGAGCCAATAACAAAAAACAGAATTAATTGTTGTCGTCTAAAGCACATCTACCAGAACCCCCCCCCCACCCATCAGGAGAAAATACCTGAAAGAAACCCCAATGGTGAAGGCAACAGGCAATTGTAAAGGTTCAAACACAAAAAAATGTACTAATAGAAATAACTTTAATCACTAGCAAGTCTTGTCAGAGCTGTTTGTGACTAGGGTAGAAACTATAACAGTATTGTCTTACATTAAAAGCCAACAATTGGAATATTTCCCTCACTGTGTTAGTTAGCATGAGTAAGCAGAGATTTAAGTTTTTACCCTTAATGTATAATAAGCTATGACTCAGAAAACATCCTAACTCATATTTTCTGCAGTGAAGCAACCATACTTTCATATGTTGATCTTTTGTTTTTGTTTTATCAAGTGTATCCTACTGAAAAATAACAGTATGGCACACTTCAGACCTATAGCCTATAGATTGTGAGGGACTATTATTTTTCTTGTAAGTCAGGTAAGCTGGGTAGATATAGCTAGGAGCTGAGCTCCATCAAACTACCAACCCCTTAACCATGACAGGTGGGGGTGGACGTGGGGGTAAGTTAATGATCCTACAAGTAGACAGTTGATACAGTGGTCGCTGTATTCTAGGTGAGCGCTCTCTGAACAGAAACACGAGCACAAAGTTTAGTAACCTGAAACAATCGAGGCAGGACATCAGCTGGTTGACCTCTGACCACGAATAACCGGCTGTTGAGTTTCCTCAAACTGCTGTCCAGGTCCTCTAAACTTTCCAGCAAAAACCTGGAATAGAAATGGTCTTGGTATAGCTCGTGTCATATAGGCCTACACGTTATATGGGCGTCATATGTCATGCATAGCATCTATAATACATATGGGTCTACATGTCACATGGACGTCACAAGTCGTGCATAGCATCTATCACATATGAGTCTACATGTCAAATAGACGTCATAAGTCGTGCATAGCATATATCTTGCATATGGGTATACATGTCACATGGACGTCATAAGTCGTGCATAGCGTCTATCATACATATGGGTATACATGTCACATGGACGTCACAAGTCGTGCATAGCATCTATCATACCTATGGATCTACATGCCTCATGCTCACATCACACGTTATGCATCAGTCATCACATATAGCGGCTTTCATACACTTGACATCGGCAAATCACGGGCTATACATAGAGGAGTCGCGACCCATTTCGGCGCATGGGGCAAACTATCAAATCTGTCCGCCCCTCCCCCTCCCCCACCCTATTTTATATTTATTCACCTTGGCAAAAAAAAAAAAAAAAAAAAAAAAAAAACCGCCCCTATCCCTTTCCCCCAAATTTTGCAAAATCGGGACACTTTTTACCAGTCAAAGTTCCTTAAAAGTGTCTATATAGGTATCACACAACTGATGAGTAAAACGATGAGCTTTCTTAACTTTGACTGTGGATAATTCAGTCATGCAACTCAACATGAGCTTTTTACTTTATTCTTTTCAACCCCATTTGGCGCCCTTCTACGGTAGGCGCCCTGGGCTACCGCCCCCACCCGCCTTCTCCTATATACGGCTCGGTACATCATCCTATTTTATACCAGTGATATTACATGCACACACTTGTAGGTCTATACAAAACTATAATTAACATGAATAATTTAGTTTTATAGCATCAACAAGTAGCCTAATCGATCGAATGATGTAGGTTTAAAATAAAGACTTAATAATGTACGCTAATTATGTATACCCGTGAATTCATTCACCTCTAATTGACAAGAACGCACACGGAGATAAATTAATTATCTGTTACTGCGTTCTGATTACGTGAAAGTAGGTCAACTAGACATTTTGTGATAATAGCTGAGGTTGCGGGGCGACCAACGCCTATTTTAATGGCAGGAACTATGTTACTATTTAATACTATTTAATTGTTTCGTTGTTGTTTAAACGTAGGCGCACAAATCTGACCCCCTTTAAGTGTGGCATCTACGGACGAACCCTATTATTAACATAAACCTGCGACTCTCAAATAGAGAAAGTAGGTTTGTGCCAGACTGCAGAAACGGTATGGGATGGAAGGGGGAGGGGGATGATCGATTTATTTTTGGAAAAAAAATACTGAGAAGTCGCGCACATATTGCAGGTCTGCAATAATAATATACTGCATGGGTTGTTTATTATTTATTTATATTTTGGGTAGGGGGGGGGTATAGATCAATGCCTGTGGGATAAAAGTGTGGCTGTGCCAATGCGCTGGAAACACCTATTTGGAAATGTACACGTTATATTAATAAAATATGCAGTTATAAATCAGTACATGCTTATATCATAAAAATAAAATTTTGTTTCCAGAGAAAAACATTAAAGGGGCTTTTTACAATGTATCGACTACAAAGTATTTATGGAACAAGTAGGAATAGATGGAGACGCCAGAGTTTTTTGTTTTTTTCAAGGCAAAGTGACAAAAAATGGTGGCCGCTGGTCTAACCCGAGCCTCTTCCTCACAGCTGTCGAATAAATAATTTCTTTTTTTCCTGATGGCAAAAATGTGTTAGTACTATCTTACACAGATCCAGTGTTTATTCCAGGCATCCCTTCGGTGGGGGGGGGGGGGGGTCCGCTCCCCAAAGGAAATGGAATTTATGTAGAAAATAAATACTTTTAACAGTGCCCCCCCCCCCCCCGAGAAAAAAGTCTGGAAGAAACACTGCACAAATGTGTTAGTACTATCTTACACAGATCTACCTTTACCAGTGAGACGGGATATGCCTACATGTAGCTCATGGCTGGGTATTTAAATAAAAAACGTTACATTCGATGTAAGCTTACATCAAAACACAACATGGCTATTCTACTGTAATTAGTAAAACAGTCAAAGCACAACATTGCAATTCTACTGTAATTAGTAAAACAGACTATATAGTCCTACATAGCCTAGACTTACTACCTGTGGCATTATTTGTGTTTCGTATGTTGGCTAAGTCTGGATTTATTTAGTTTTCCGTGTGCAACCAGGGCAATGATTGTGGGCGGTTACTTAAAGCGTTACAAGAGCAGCGCGAGGCATCGTGTATGGAAGCCGACACAAACTTGGTTGTACAGTATTGATTTTTTGAAATCCCTATCGAAATGATGTCGGCTGTCGCCATTGGATAACACAAATTAATTTATCTTGTCAACATTCACAAGCTACTTTTCACTTAAAAAGAATGGAATAGATTAAGAAAAAAACAACAATATTGAATAAATTATGTGAGATTACTCAAAAAAAAAACAAAAAAAAACAACAAAAACTGTCGTGTAAAAACTAAAGCGAAAGCCTAGGACCCCCCCCTCCCCCCCCCCCCCCCCACACACACAGATAGTTCGTAATACCTTCGATCTGTCTTCATTAGAATACGCCCTAAATGAAATGTAATCGAAAAACTTGTGAGCGTCTTACAACAGTGCTTGTGAATGTGCGTTAAGGGACTAGAAGCAGAGATTGTTATTTATTTTATGCCTCTAGAGTTGCAAAATAAATCGACACACTCATTTATCTTAACCGTTAAGACTTAACGTTTAAAGTTAAATGTTTGATATCTAACTCCCGCCAGGCATCAAAACGACCAATATTGACCTTTATTTACAGAGTCCGTCGTGGCCAAAGTTTGATGATAAAAAGGAGATCTAGAATCTAGTTCTACTACTAGTCTAGAGAACTTAGCGTAAAAAATCGGAGCCCATTTATCAGTCGATCTTTTGTTTAGTCATAAGTTGAATAACGAGGGAGAGTTATTTGATTGAAGAATGAGGTCTGATACAGTGAAAGCATATTCCCTACGCGCGATAGAGAGCTATATCTATAAACAAAACTATTATGCATGCTGTTGGGGTCCTGAGTTTCTCCCAGGCATCTCCTCCGAAGAAAGTCTACCGCCCCTCCCGAACGAAATTGAATTTATATAGAAAATATATACTTTTAACAGTGTCCGTGTTTTTCTGTCGGTTTCGCTTTGAGAGTATGGATAATGCAAGAGTTAGCGTAGTTATACTAAAACAAGTTAATAAAAAGTCTAGTGACAATTTAAGCGCAATTTCCTTAATTAATTTTTTAGAATTCACAGACCTACGTAAAAATCCTTTCGAACCTCCGCTCATTCGCTATGGTAAAATCCTTTCGAACCTCAGCGCTTTGCGCTAAAAACCTACACGATGCTCAGTTTAAATGTTCTTAATTAATTTTTTGTGACCGAACGGAAGGATATTTTTGAAAACTTTCTTCGGCAATATTGGTCTAAATTATGGCAGGAATCGATTGGTAAATGTTTCAAGTCGCTAAGTGGTCTGGTTGCCGAGATATGGAGCAAAAACTGCATTTGTTCAAGGTTTTTTTGGCTTTTCCGGGAAATCCATGAAGGAATTCGGGAATTTTGGCCTATGTTCATCCTCGGAACTTGCTTAACATATTTGCTTTTGGAACTAGTCCTCGATATTGCTTCGTTGAGGAGGAGATACGACTTAAAGGCTGCGGACACACATCCACACATCCATCCAGAAATGACGCATTATTAAACGCAATTGCCAGTATCTAGATCTATACGTTTTTTTTCTACTGTCAGAGCGGCTCCCAAAAATGCTATTTAAGTTGCACTTTTGAAATGCAAGGAAGTTACCGACCCCTTCGTTGGAGGTCTATATTTTTAAAATGAATGAATTCTTTTAAGGTCTTTTACTGTTTGTGAACAATTTTATTTTTGGGTGAATGTCCAACATATGAAACAACAACAACAACAAAAAAAACAACAACAAACAACCCATTGCACTATCATTATAGTTCATACGCACTTTAGGGCGGGTCTGATTTTTTTCCCGTGGCAGAGCAAATTAAACAGAAGAAATTATAAACTAGCATAACATTTTGTTATCTTGTAGGCCTACCTATAAACCTACTACTGTTGATCCAGTTCAGTGAGTATTTTTATAGCATGGCTTCCCCCCCCCCCCCCCCCCCAAGAAACAAAATTGTAGTTTGGGATAGATGGGGGTAGGTTGAAGCTGTCTTTTAAAGTTGCAATCAGGGGGAAAAGGGAGAGCTGAAGTATGGGGGGGGGGGGGGGGGGGGGGGTTCTGATGATCGGTGAATAAATGTGACGATAGGATGGGAGATATCAAAATAATTTTTTAAAAAATATGGCATCACTTAAGAATGACTCTTAACAGTGGGACAATTAATTAGGAGTTTAGGTTATTTATTATGGCATTAATAATTCAAAACGTGGAGTTTTAAAAAAAAATAGAGATCTAGTCTATAAGATTTTAGTTTGCAAATATTAGCAAATACACATGGAAATACATGAAAAATATTAAATTTAAATTATGTTAGTGTTAGTATATTGGCCTACATAAATAGGCCTTAGCCCTTATCTAAGTATAGATCTAGTATAACAGTAGAACATAATATTTCTAGGACTGTAGTATTTACTACTTATTAATATCATAATAATACAAATAACATGACAAAATTAATGTCTGCGTAATAATTAATTAGCTAATAACTAATAACCTACCTCCATTTATTTATCCCAACCTGTGAAGCACCTGCAAACCAAGGGTCCAATATATAAACGCATCGATATGTAGTTGCACCTTCCAAAGCCGTAGTCAGTGCAGGGTTGTCATGCAGGCGTAAACCTTTCCTGAACCAAAATAATAAATGTTTTTTAGGTGTTGGCGTCTGCGACATATTTTGTTCAGTTGGAGCTTCCTTCATGTTGTCAAGAATAATATTAAACCGTGGCCTCCATATAAATAATCTTAATTATTGTTTGTAAACAATTTCATTTGACGACTACGATAAAATTAATTTTGCTTATAGAACTAAGATAATGTTTTCAAACGCCTCGTTCTGTTATATACAGAATTCGAGATAAAATTCGTCGAGGTCTGCAACGTGACTTAAAAATAGAACAGGTTGCTTCTGATTGGTGAAACCAAGTCACATGGTACAATCAATGGCACGTGTTTTACGGCATGGCTGAAGTATTTTATTTAGGCTAGATTTTTAGATCTGCATCTATCTAGATCTAGCTTAGATTGTCTTGGTCCCTGTCTATTTTTTTTTAATCACGCACATTTCATCAATATGTAAAATAGAATATTATTTTTTTGAAAATAATATTAAAATATGAACTGATGGACTAAATCATTCAACATTTTTTCAGACGAGCGCTGGAAAATTATTTTTCTTGGTTGCATAATAATTATAATAATCGATTTTTACTAAATTTAGTTTATTTCCTTCGTTCACACTGGCGTCAAACACGCAGCGTGGCACAGTTTCAAAGTAAAATCAGAGCTATGCATATAGGCATAGAGCAAAGATAAGAAACATAGTAATTAATAGGTGTCTAGTCTAGTCTGGTAATTCTGGTTCTCCTATTAACACGTTTTTCTTTTTATTCATTGTTCTAGGCCTACTACTACAGTCTACATATAATACATGTATTGAAGGCCTAGGCTTATGTAGGGCCTATAGGTCTACTTACACAAAAAAACCCATATCCTAAGCTTTTATAGGTAGAGCCTGTAAATATGCATATATATATATATATATATATATATATATATATATATATATATATATATATATATATATATATATATATACACCATATCAATTAAAAGAATGATGCTTTGCTGCCGTAAGCGTTTGCTCTGATATGAGAAAGCTATTTTATGTAGATTTAGTCTAAAACAGGCCATGAAATGGTTAGACGAAATTTGTAATCTTTCAGTTTTTAAATTAATGAACAGATCGATATACTCACAAAAAGTGTAGACAAAGGCATACATTACATATCCTATAGGTCAGCCATGCTAGACTTTAAAGAAAAAGGATTGTAGGTTTAAAGTCTAAAGGTCGTGCATATTTCACATGGCGCTAAGTATAGTGAGCTGGTGGTTTGTTCTCTTTATTATATTATTTTATGTGGGACGTATAAAGTTGTGGCCTAAAGCTTCCATAAATAAGACGTTTTTGTTTTGTTTTTGTTTCACCTTCGCAAGAATGGAAGAGCGGTAGTGTGGTGGGGGCGTTAGGCCTATATCACATCTTTATATGGAGTGTATCATGGGTAAAAATGTCTTATTGTTAAGGCCATTTGTATCAACGTATTCGTATTCATTTATAGAAAAAAAAATCATGAAAAAAAAAATTAAAATCAAATGCAGTGCTATTCAACATTGCGCTACGCTTCCCCTATCCTAAAAAAGCAGCAAACCACCCCTAATCCTTCGCGTTTGGTGCAAGCACCTTTTAATGATCACTGAGCCTCACTCTTATTTACAAAAAAATCTGTCTAAAACTTGTAACACCATACGTTCATAAAAATAAATATCTTTTTTTCCCCATTGGTTTTAGTTTCAAATTAAATTACCTGCAGTCAGCTTAATTTATTAGATTTTGGCCCCTAAAGGTACAATTGGCATACTAAGAGGCGTTTGTTTTTGTTTTCATTTTTTCTTCTTTACGAACTCGGAAGTGCAGGTAAAGGGTAAATAAATTGTAAACTCTTAATTTCTACGTTTTATCGATCTAATATTCACATAGCTTGATTACCAATTTTTAATAGTAATTTTAAGAGGGAGAATGTTTATACCGGTGTCCGATAATGGAATCTCCTTTAAAAAAGGGGTGTTAGGTTACTGGTACTAAAATACACACATGGCTGGCTAACCTAATGTCAATGCTAACCCTGTCCCTTATCTAACCGCAACCCTGGTCCTACCATACGCCTAACCCTAATTTCTAACCATAAAATTAGTCGAGATTACAATACTACTAACAACCAAACACCCCTTTTTTTAAAGAAAATTCCATTATCGGACACCGGTATCTACAATACTCCTTTTAAGAAACTTCTTTATTTATTATTACCAGTTTAGTTTTAGGTTTTAGTTTGAGGAGTTGTTTGATTCCAGAACAACCGGTCTTAGCAAAATACTGAAAGTAGAAATACAAGTATTTGAGGCCAAAATAAGCTAAAGTACTCTTTGACCCCATTACTCACATGACTTGTGCGTAGCGAAATTAAATATGAATATATAATTAAAAATATTCTTTTCTTTTTAAACTCACAATTGTATGACCATAATCGTTATCCGTACTTATATGTAGTTTTTAAGTTTAAAGTAAACCAATTAATCCAATTATTATCGTTGGCCTTTTAATGTTATAGTTATAGTCTAATATAGTATTGGAGTATAGTATAGGCCTACTACTTAATTATTAATTATTGTAATATAAAGTAATATAAAGTAAAAGTAGGCCTATAGACCTACTATTATTAATTATAATTATTTGGCCTGGGCCTAATGAGAATGACAATTAATATTATTTTATACTTATAGCCTAGGCCTATTAGTTAATAGTATTAGTTATGATTTTATAAGTCCACTCAAGTGTTGTAGAGTGACACTACACACTCAGTAAGTGACTCAGTTACTCTAGTGTGTAGTTGACTTGTTATAGAATCTAGCAGAGTGATTCTATCATTCTACACTACATGCATTTATTAGTCTTTAGTTGAATAATCAGACTATATACTATATACTGAGAATCTCCAGTCCAGTTAGTGAGTTTAGCAATTCTACAAAGTCTATGTAAACTGTAAACTATATATATATAGATCTAGTACTCTATATACTATGTATATATATATATATATATATATATATATATATATATATATATATATATATATATATATATATATATATATATATATATATATATTAGAAAGTATATCTGTCTAGTCTACTGTCTATGTATGTATGTACCATGTAAATATACAGTGGAGATTTAGTTAGTAGAAACACTAAACACAGGACAGTGCATAGTTTAATTGCAGGTATTAAGCATTTAAAAAAAAACCTCATAAGTATTGACTATCCACAATTAATGTGCTAATTAAATTTGTCTGTTTTATTCAGAAACAAAAAGCTACCAGATATTCAAACATGGCTGTGAAGAAAACAAGCCAGTGAACAGTATATCTCTGAAGGCTAGTGATTGCCTTGTGACCAAAGTCACAGTCTACAAGGACAGGGCTGAAGTTTGCAGAGAGGTGGAAACAACCATTAAGGAGGGAGTAAATGAATTAAGAATCAAAGATTTTGTCTCTATCGAAGAAGACTCAATAAGGTAGGTGTGATAGTTTACAGTGGTGGGGATCAATTAAGGGTGGGGTTTCACCTGGTAGTAATTATTGTTCAAACAAGTCATTAAAGTGTGACTAAGGCTATCCAGTATCCATTGTTTATTTTAGTAATTTTTTACTGGTTTTCTTAAATGGAACATGACCACCACTTGAACTTACTGTAACATCTGTCAGTCATTGTTCTTCATTTGTATGTATTGTGTAATGGAGTGTGTAGTGTTTGTGGTGTGTGGAAAGTGGTATGTATGTGTAAGATGAGTTATTAGATGTGGAGGGTGAGTGTAGTGATGTGAATTGATACATGTGGGTTGTGCTGTGTGGGACATATGTCTTATGATATAGCTTATCTGGTGGAGTATGTTTTGGTGTGGATCGGTATAGAGGTTAAGGTCCTCATTTTAATGTCTGCAGTTCAAAATTATTTTACATGATTAAAAAAAGGATATTTTTTTGCGTGCCTATCTTTTATGTACTCTAAAAAGTGTTATTTAAATTTCACACTGCGGTTGGAGCACAGGCCTGCAAATAGTATATATAAATATGCTGATTGATCTATGTGTCATCTCTAGACTTTTTGTTCTGCTATGTAGTTTAGCTTGGATGTTAAATCATTTTTATCCATTCATTATATAAAGAAAATCACATTCAAACTAATACTATATTAGCAAAGTCAATTTTATATTGATTTTGGTCCATATAGTTGTCACTTTTTAACATTATTATCATATATGTATATTTGACTTGTAATGTACACATAAAATTAAAGATTTAATTTTTTTTTTTACGTTTTTACCCAGCCAGAAAAACTTTCACAGTCTTTTATTTTACAGTTTTTGTTAAATAAATTTATAGGCACTTATTTTTTATTTTTTTATTTAGCTACTTTGAAATTTAAAACAATTGTTGATTTTTCTTTAAATGAATATAACACATTGAAAACATGAAAAATGGACTCATCCTCAGCTAAACTGTCACTAAGAGTTTGTTGTGTATTAACCTTTCAGGGTGGAGGGTAAAGGTAATGCAACCATAGCTGAGGTCAGCTACCAAAGCAAATACATCACTGACGATGAAGCCACCATGACTGAGAAGGAGAAAGTTCTCAATGAGCAGGTAAATCTCTAATGTATGAGAGCCAAAAATGTACACTTTTTTTGTTCTTTTAATTTTAAAAAGGTGTTTGCTATTAATCTATTAATAATTGAGCTAAAAATAATTATAAATTATAGTTACTAGATTAAATTTTTTTTTTTTTAATCTGACTAGTTGGTAGAACTGGGATCATTCTGAAATAATTCTTTAGAATTAAGAAAAAAATTAAATAATATTTAAAATTGTAAAATTTCAGCTCAAAGCACTGAAAGAGCAGAAGCAAGATTTGGATTTCGAAACCCAGAAAAATGCAATTAAAAAGCAGTGGAGTTTACTGGATCAATTTGCTGCAACTGCTGCTAAAAATGGCAAGGTTAGTTATTATTAGATGACCCAGTTATCCTTATTTTTTTTTTTTTTGCTACATAAAAATCTAAAACCAGTTGATATTGATTTAAAAAAACAGGGTGATACCAAGGAAGAGAAGCCTGCCTTTCAGCTTGATGCAGCTTACTTTAAGGGTGAGTATCTTTCTCAGAGTCTCTAAGAAAGGTTAGTTTTCAAATGGGTTTTAGAAAACTGTTATTTTGTCTCGAATAATTATGGTACAAATTAGACACATCTTATTAAACACGTCTCGTTAAACACATCTTATTTTTATCTAATTCACTTGTCCCTTAGAACGTCATGTTCGAAAAGGGAACTTTACTCTTTTTTTTTTCAAATTAAAAAGGTACCAACAAGTTCATTAGTTAAGTCTAATAAATTATACTTTATCTTGAAAATTGCTATATATTTTCTGAATTCTGTAAATTGTTCTTGAAGGTATGAAAGAGTTTATGCAGCAGTATAAGGAGATTGGCAAACAACTGGAAGAGGAACGTTTGAGTTTGGAGAAAAAGAATCAAGAGCTGGATAAAAAGATTGAAACAGTTGAAAAAAATCTGTCAGAAGTTCGTGGGAACTGGAACTCAGGCCATGAGAGCAGGTAATATTTAGGGTGAGACAGTGGATAATTTTATGTGTAACTTGTGTGATAGGTAGTTTCATGAGTGTGACAGTGGATAGTTTTATGTGCAGCTTGTGCGACATCAGGTAGTTTTATGGGTGTGGCAATGGATAGTTTTATGTGTGACATCAGGTAGTTTTAGTGGTGTGGCAATGGATAGTTTTATGTGCAGCTTGTGCAACATCAGGTAGTTTTATGGGTGTGGCAATGGATAGTTTTATGTGTGACATCAGGTAGTTTTAGGGGTGTGGCAATGGATAGTTTTAAATGCTGTTTGTGTGACATCAGGTAGTTTTTAGCGCAATTTCCATTCTGGAGAATTGCGTTTATTAACCCGTCATTTCTGGATGTATGAATGAATGGATGGATGGATGGATGGATGTGTGTCCGCAGCTTTAAGTCGTATCTCCTCCTCAACGAAGCAATATCGAGGACTAGTTCCAAAAGCAATTATGTTAAGCAAGTTACGAGGATGAACATAGGCCATAAAAATTCCGGGTTTCTTTCATGGATTTCCCGGAAAAGCCAAAAAAAAACCTCGAAAAAAAGCAGTTTTTGGCCCATATCTCGGCAACCAGACCACTTAGCGACTTGAAACATTTACCAATCGATTCCTGCCATAATTTAGAACAATATTGCCGAAGAAAGTTTTCAAAAATAGCCTTTCGTTCGGTCACAAAAAATTTTTTGAATTAATTAAAATTTGGACCGAATTAGTAGGCATTTTATGCAATTACACCACACGCGTCATCACGTTCAATAGCTGCGCCATCACGTTCAATGGCTGCGACGTCACGTTCGGTAGCTGGGCGCGCAATGGTTTTTAGTCATGTTACTCTATTGTAAATAAAACATGTAAAATACTGAAATTTTTTAAAATAAAAAACGTTTTAATAACCAACCAATGGTTTTACTAACCCTTCTCTTGATTTACGCTACGACAGAGCTATTTTTAGATAACACAAGGAAATTGCGCTAAAATTGTCACTAGACTTTTTTTAATTACTTGTTTTTAGTTATGTTGATGGATTGTTTTATGTACATGGACTTCACTGATTTAATTTTAAACCTAATGAAGCTTTAACTATTTTACTTATTAATTCACCAGTGATTTCTTAAAGTATTTGTTGGGATGTTGCTAAAAATATAAAAAGTAATAAGTTATGTTTGTATTTTAAAGCATAAACCTTATTTACATATCCCACTCTAACATGGCCTTGCTAAATACATATGAAAATTATGGCTATATTTATGTTGTGTCTAAATTCATATGTTAATCATTCCTCTGTCTATTTTGTGTCTAAATTCATATATGAATCATTGCCCTGTCTATGTTGTGTCTAAATTGATATGTTAATCATTGCTCTGTTTATCTTGTTTCTAAATTCATATGTTAATCACTGCTCTGTCTATGTTGTGTTTAAATTCATATGTTTATCATTGCTCTGTCTATGTTGTGTCTAAATTCATTTAAATCATTCCTCTGTCTATCTTGTGTCTAAATTTATACATGAATCATTGCCCTGTCTATGTTGTGTCTAAATTGATATGTTAATCATTGCTCTGTTAATCTTGTTTCTAAATTCATATGTTAATCTTTGCTCTGTCTATGTTGTGTCTAAATTGATATGTTTATCATGGCACTGTCTATGTTGTGTCTAGGGAGTGTGTGATTGTTCTCGAGGCAGAGAAAGAGACCAAGGTGTCGCTCACTGTGTCCTATGTGGTGCTGGCGGCCTCGTGGTCACCAAGTTATGACCTGCGCATGTTCACTGATGAAGGAAACCTGAAGGTACATTTTTCTTTGGTTGCTTTCAAATCACTAGGCTATAAAAGCCTGTTTCACCTAGAATCTTGTAGTTGTAAGGTAATTATAAGGTTGTTATATTATATAGTTGCTATAATTTAAATGACTCAGACATATGGTAAAAATTTAATTATTTATTTAATGTTGTTTTACATCTTGTATCAAGTAGAGCAAATTTCCAGTCTTTGTTTTCCTAATTTTAACAACAAATTGTGTTACTAAAAAGTAATTTTGTCTCATTTTTAAAGATTCTAAATAGGGAAAACACAATCTGCATTGGGATCAAACTGATTTTTTTCTAACCAAGGGGAACAACCTTTTCTATAACAAATCAAGGAGAAAAAAGAACTTACTTATGTGACTGATGTGCTACAAAGTGTGCAAATGTGTCCTACTATTTTTGTAACTTTTTCTCCCCAGATTTTTTACTATGGTTTAATCCGCCAGTGGTCAGGGGAAGACTGGACCAACGTCAAATTATTTCTATCAACAGCAGAGCCCAGTGTTGGTGGGAGCATTCCTTTGTTGCCCATGACACAGCTTGCAGTCCGCAAAATTCGGTATGTGATTAGAGTGGATGTTAAATTTATTGTATTTATGAAATTTCCATGACAAATGCCACTTGTCCAACATCATGACATCAGGTCCCTCTTGTTCAACATCATGACATCATCCAGCAACATCATGACATCAGATCCCTCTTGTCCAACAACATCATGACATCAGATCCCTCTTGTCCAACAACATCATGACATCAGATCCCTCTTGTCCAACAACATCATGACATCAGATCCCTCTTGTCCAACAACATCATGACATCAGATGCCTCATGTCCAACAACATCATGACATCAGATCCCTCTTGTCCAACAACATCATGACATCAGATCCCTCTTGTCCAACAACATCATGACATCAGATCCCTCTTGTCCAACATCATGACATCAAATCCCTCTTGTCCAACATCATGACATCAAATCCCTTTTGTCCAACATCATGACATCAAATCCCTCTAGTCCAACATCATGACATCAAATCCCTCTTGTCCAACATCATGACATCAGATGCCTCTTGTTCAACATCATGACATCAAATCCCTCTTGTCCAACATCATGACATCAAATCCCTCTTGTCCAACATCATGACATCAAATCCCTCTTGTCCAACATCATGACATCAAATCCCTCTTGTCCAACATCATGACATCAGATGCCTCTTGTACAACATCATGACATCAAATCCCTTTTGTCCAACATCATGACATCAAATCCCTCTTGTCCAACATCATGACATCAAATCCCTCTTGTCCAACATCATGACATCAGATGCCTCTTGTACAACATCATGACATCAGATTTATCTTGTCCAACAACATCATGACATCAAATCCCTCTAGTCCAACAACATCATGACATCAAATCCCTCTTATAAAACATCATGACATCAAATCCCTCTTATAAAACATCATGACATCAAATCTCTCTTATAAAACAACATCATGACATCAAATCCCTCTTATAAAACAACATCATGACATCAAATCCCTCTTATAAAACAACATCATGACATCAAATCTCTCTTATAAAACAACATCATGACATCAAATCCCTCTTATAAAACATCATGACATCAAATCCCTCTTATAAAACAACATCATGACATCAAATCCCTCTTATAAAACAACATCATGACATCAAATCCCTCTTATAAAACAACATCATGACATCAAATCCCTCTTATAAAACAACATCATGACATCAAATCTCTCTTATAAAACAACATCATGACATCAAATCCCTCTTATAAAACATCATGACATCAAATCCCTCTTATAAAACAACATCATGACATCAAATCCCTCTTATAAAACAACATCATGACATCAAATCCCTCTTATAAAACAACATCATGACATCAAATCCCTCTTGTCCAGCAACATCATGACATCAAATCCCTCTTATGAAACAAACCCCTAGCTGTGCTAACACTAGTCTACAATAGCCTTTATGTAACAAAGACACAAAATACAGTCAAATGATTCAATTAAACCCAAAGCATTAAAAAAATGATAGTAAATGTATGCAGTGACCACTGGTCAGAATCAGCAAGTTTAATAGGTCGCAATATTGATCAGCAAGGCTTTTAGTTTCTACGATATTTTCTAAGCCCATCTAATGTTCTATGCTATACTTGTTGACTGAATAAGCGAGTATACTTTTGATTACGTTTCAAAATAAGGAAAAACAATAAACTCTGGTTAAAGTCAAGGGAGAGAACAAAAAACATGTTTTGTTGGATTGTCCTACTTGTTTGTTTTATTATGGAAAATATTGATAAGTCTAAGGCCTGCAGTGTTTACAGAGCGCCCCCTAAACCAAGGAGCAGCAACTCTAGGTTGTACAAGGAAATTTATAATTTGCGTGATGAAAATGATGAAGATATATATGATGCTTCTGAATGCTATTCTGATACACTTCCGCGACCTGTGGCGCCACCATTGCAAGTAGCTGAGATCCAGGTTTGTCTTAGGCGATCCCTTTACTAAAAATCCTGACTTGATTTCAAGGTCTTGCTTTGAACTATATCCGCCAGTCTTACAGCGTATGATGTATTCCTTAAGTTCTCACTGTCTTTCTGAACCTTTCTTTCAATGAATATAAATATAGGCTGTCTTTATCAGATGTTTGTTCTTTCCTGTGAAGCTCTTTAGCTCCAAATGGTGCTGGCTACCTGCACAATCCTTAAAGCAACTACCATTGCATGTAGCGCACCTTTAACACTAATTAACAGCTAAATTTACTGCTAAAATATCAGTTTATTGTAAACTGGTGCATGGAATAGACTTGCCTGGCTAACTAATTGCATCAATTTTCAAGCATGATAAAAATTATCAACTGTCATTTTCTGGTGCAGATATATTAATAAATAAGTGAACTTTTTGAAATATCAAGTAATGTTACAAAAGTATATAACTTTATTGTGTAAAATATTGTGGTAGTAATAGAAGTTCCCTATCTGATCATAGGGTAGATGAAGTTCATCTGTTACTTTTAGCTATCACTTGAAGCAAATATATTTTAGTGCCATGCCCTGCTGCCTTAATTTCCCACACTAGACTTCAGAGCTGGGTGGTTTCAGGGGAAAACTGCACATTCTAATTAAGAACTGCTCATCCATTCAGCCAAACCATCTCTATAAAAAATGTGTAAGTCCAAGTAATATCAGATATGTTATTGGTGTATGAGTGTTACAGGTTGGTCCAGCTAGAGTACTGCAAAAAGAAAAAAAGAAGTAAAAATGTTAACGAACTAAGCATTTATTTTTAAAATTATTAATAAATCACTGCTAAAGTACAATTGGTATTTTTTTTAAAAAATAGCATTAGAAATTCTCATGCTTTGAGTTATTTGATATATTTTGCTTTACATTTTTTTAACAAGTTATATGCCTATTCTTTTAAATTACATAATGTTAAGCTCCATTTTCTAAATTAATGATTGTTACCCCCAATTTTGAAAAAAAACGTATGTTTTACCCCATATTTTTAATTTACAAATGTTATGTCCCATTTAAAAGAAAATGTGGACATAGCTAAACTGTACAGACAGATTTATTTTAATGAACGGAAAACCCTTAATAAAAATAACTGAAGGAGAACTGGAATAACAAGCCAAAAATTATTTTAATTAGGAGCTCTTGAAATGTCTTAAAAATTCTTGCTTTGAAAGCCTCACTTAAAGTTCTTTAGTTATAAATAGCATGCTAGGACTCATACAAATGATTTCTGGGACAGGCACTTTCAATCTCAGTTCCGTGAAAACAAAATGGCCCTGAGAAAAACACTGAGAAGATATAGCATGCCATTTTCTGTAAAAGGGGCTCCACATCCTGCTCCAGTCTCTAGGCCAGAGGTCAAGGTCAGAATGAGTTGTTTACTCCAGGCTGATCCATGTTTTTTTTTTCCAATCCAATTTTTTCTTAATACCCAGTGAAAAATAAAAAATAAAAAATTGTAAAATAAACATTATTTTAAATTATGTTTAAAGTAGCTTCAGATTATCGTAATAACCACATTGTTGGTGTCTGATCATTGCTTTTGTTCAATCCAATTTTTAAACAAAGTATCTAATAACTAAACAAATGAATTGTAAAAAACTTGAAATTAAAAATATTAAAGTAGTTAAATTGGAACCTAAAAATCTAATTGTTACAGTGTTAAAGATTGATCCCTGCTTTTGTTCCCATAGTTCTACCAATCCAATTTTTATACCCTAATGACAAATTAACAAATATTTAGTAAAATAGACATTCTTTTTTAAAATAATTTAACTTACTCAACAACCACAATGTTGAAGTTCTTCAGCTAAGAGAAGAAACATTTAAACTAAACTAGCCTTAGGTTGTTTTTTTTTAAAAAGAGATGAAACCAACATTCTTGATGTTATAGTCAAAAGTAATGTAAGATAAATGTGCAGATGAATGTTATGAGAAAGCCAGTGAGACAATTGAGTTTATCCCCCCTTTTGGTGGCTTCTTGTCCAGTACAGGTCAGTCTAACACAAGGTAGCACAGCTTTTGCCTAGCTGAATTTCTCTATGGGGATAAAGCTTGTCTCAGGAATTAAAAAATGCCTTCTACTAACATTAGGCTAACATATTTATTATACACTGTACTGTCATTGTTATAGTTCAAAACAAAATGGCCTGAGAATCAGAAAATTTAGCTGTCAAAGGTTTGAATTAGCATTTGGATTGCTTATTAAAACTTATTTACCCTAATGCATCATATATTCAAAATTGAAGATTTCAATGTAACAAATGAAATTTCCTACTAATGACTAACATGACTGTAAGTGATTGAAGGATTCCTCATTTCTACTGTCATAGAGTTGGCTGGTGTTTGTTTTACTTAGTCTATTATTCTGTAGTCTAAAGATTCTTTATCTTTTAAAGATTTGTTGGTAATATTTCCTGTTTTCCCCTTATTTTGGAAGGAAAAGACTGCATACAAATGTGGCTTATTAGGTATGATACAACAGTCACTTTTTATGCTACAAATATCTCTAGTTGATTCATATTGTTTTCTTGTAAAGAAATTGTGTGTCTGACTGATCAATGATAAAAGCAAATCACAACAGTAATGGCTGGCGTAGCAATAGTATTTGTATCATTCAACACAAAGCTTCTTATTGGCAAATCACAAAAGTAATGGCTGGTGTAGCAATAGTATTTGTATCATTCAACACAAAGCTTCTTATTGGCAAATCACAACAGTAATGGCTGGTGTAGCAATAGTATTTGTATCATTCAACACAAAGCTTCTTATTGGTCGACTTTAATAACAATAACTACATGTGCAGGGAGTTTGACGAATGTAGATTTACTTGATTGTCTTCCATCAATGTCCCTAAACCTTTGCAACACTCATATAAAATTTTAACAAAAAAATCAAACCTTTTTTTCAGTGTTCCTAACAAAGTTTATACTTTTCAAAGTTTCTGAGTTTCCTTCCCTCTTCCCACATTGCAGCACTGCATCACTAAAATTAAAATCCCCATAGGT